ATGTGTTTCATGGTTCTCTTCTTCCAGAAACTTTCCCTAGAGTTTTAGCTTGTTCTTCTCTGATCATTTTTGAAATAATCTTCATGCTTTACTTAGCATTCAATGATGAATGTGGCTAAACGTTCTTAATGCATATCATATTTACACATGCCTGTCTACTGAAAGCAGCGTGTTTGATGAGGGCATTAGGATGTTTTAAAACTGTTCTGTAGCCCCTCCTTCCATCTGCATCTACAATTCTAGGGGAAAGGGGATCACGAAATACCATCAAGTGATAGTATCCCTATTACAAATAAGAGAACAGGTGATGAAATAAAGAATGAAGTTAAATCATATAGCAAGCGTGTACTGAAATTGAAATTGGAATCTAGAATTATCCATATTCTGTACATTCAGCAACTATTTGCTGAGAGTGGAGCACAGTAGAAATATGCAACACAATGACCAATGACCAGTCTGCTGGGTTGTGACATCACATACTAGCATTGCATTGCTGTCTGGTACTATTTTGTTTAGCTCAAAAGTGTCTAAAGTGTACCATAGAAAGAGAACCTAGCCTGGAAGAAAGGAGACTTGGGTTCAAATCCCAGATTTGTTAAATATCATTGTCAAAGTCAACTCTGAGTTTCAGTTTACACTCAGTAAAAAGAAGAGGTGACCTAGACTCTTTCCAAAGTTAAGATGCTGGAAATGATTCCATGGCACCAGATTGAATATTTTGTATATTCAGAGATGGGAAGGGGTGGGGAGCAGGCAAGAAAGATTAATTGGAATATTGTTTAAGATTGATAGAACTTAAAGGAATAATATTTTTCTAGGATATACAGCCAGAGGTAACACTGAATATGAAAAAATCTAGTATAGTTAAATATTGTTTATCAAGTTCAGAAAAAGTCTGAATAAGATAAGATTTTTGCTAAAGGATTATCCAAGTAGGTCCAGTGATTCAGAAGGCACTTTAAGATCTTGGTGTACCTCACAGTCTTTACTCATGTGGCACATCTGTCAATACAAATGCCTGAGATTAAACTACCAGGAAGCTACTTTTGGAGAAACCAGGAATTCCTGATAGCATTTTGTTTGAGTAACCTGCCTATTGTTCATAAAGAGAAAGAGTAGAAAATGTACAAGAGTGTAATTTCTGTCTAGAAGGAAAGACTTTTAGTTGATACACTGTGATATAAATAAATTGTTTATCTTTTCTTTAAAACACAGTGCAACACATTATTGAATAGGAAAGGAGGCCAGGGGTTTAAATCCATAGAAGGTAGCAGAATAGATGTCTAAGAGGGCTTGACGACCACCCTGAGAATAGAGAAGTGGTAAACAAGGCCAGGCCAGGTGGCTCATGCCTGTAATCCCAGCATTTTGGGAGGATGAGGCGGGTGGATCACGAGGTCAGGAGTTTGAGACCAGCCCGACTAACATGGTGAAACCCTGTATCCATTAAAAATACAAAAATTAGCTGGGCATGGTGGTGCATACCTGTAGTCGTAGCTACTAAGGAGGCTGAGGCAGGAGAATCACTTGAATCCAGGAGACGGGGGTTGCATTGAGCCAAGATTGTACCACTGCGCTCCAGCCTGGGTAACAGAGCGAGACTCTGTCTCAAAAAAAAAAGTAGTAAACAGGGAAAATACAACTGAAATGACATAGAAAACTGCTGAAATAGACATGATATTTTTAAGGCTGAGTTATAGCTGTTTCATCCTTTCCTCTGCCAAGGCTGCTCATCATTCCCTGTTCAGAGGTATTATTTCTCCCAAGTTAATCTGTGAGGTGAGCATGGGTGTTGTTCCTCTGAGGAAAGGTCCCAGGTTATATACATGATTCTTTCTTTCTCTAAGGGAGGCTTCAACAGAGCATTCCCTATTTTGTCAATCAATCCATTAATGTATGCACTGCCCTCAACAATGACTACATTCCATATAAGTAATTCCACATTATGGAATAAAAAAAGAATAGGCAAAAAGACTAGGCTATTAATTTGTGAACATTAAATATATTATGCTAAGTGAAAGAAGTCAAACTGAAAGACTCTAGACTATACGATTCCATCCATATTATATTCTAGAATAGACCAAAGTATAAGGACAGAAAATGGATCAGTGATATCAAGGGTTTGAGAAGAGAGTAATGTTTGACTAGAGGAAACTCAGGAGATATTTTTTGCAGCTGGTGGCACTAATTTGTATGGCACTCTAACAGTGAATACATGATTCTTTGCACTTGTCAATGCCCACAGAGCTTTGCAGCACAAGGAGTAACTAATATATGCAGTTTCAAAAAACAGCAACAACAAAATAAACCAGAAGGTCAGAGGATCCTGGGATAGAATGCAGAATGTGACCATAGAGTCCAGCAATCACACATATATGACATAACCTCATTGAAGAGGGTACAGGAAAGAAGACACTAGCTTGAGGAACTTTAGAAACAGTGCTTTGAATGGAAACAGCAAGTGTAAAGTAATAAAGGACTAGACATAAACACTGTGCTTGAGTTGACAAGGTTGTTTCTCATGCTAGAGCGGGTTAATCTGAAACTGCTAAGTAGTTATACTAGCACTGAATAAGCAAATGAGTGGCAGATGGTAATGCCCATTTTTTTTTACTGTTACAGAGCAAAGTTACAGGTAAGTAAGGAAATGGCTAGAATGTACTATGTGGTACTTGATTAGATTTGGCTACTTTAATATGGATTTATGTTTAGGTTAGCATAGATACAGATGGATGGATATAATTATAGGTGTGTGGGTGTATTCATGAGTTAGGCTGCAAACATTATTATGGAGCTCTGTTTGCTGATACCTGGCAATGACACTCAGTAGCGATGAGTATACCCAGAACCAAATCTTCATTGGTCATACCAATAGGGCTCCTTGGAGAAATGCCTGATTTGGGGGGAGGGGTAACAAAAATGCAAGATAAACCTGGAGCTTCTTGTAGTGACAGAAAATAAATGCTCAAAAAATAAAAGGAAGAGGTATTGTCAAAGGGACACAGCAGCCAGCCTGAGAGAACTCTCAGTGACAAAAGCTGGAACCATTTGAGCAGCAAAGCAAATAACATAGTGTTGGATTATAATCCAAAGTATAAAATAAATAACTGTGAGTCCATTCATCCTTATATGTAAGTAAATAATTGAATAAATAGGTAAATGGGAGCAAATAAGCAAGTCTCCTATGCAGAAGAATTCCAACAACTTTATATAGATACCACTCCCAATGCCTGCGCTCGCGTGCGTGCACACGCGCACACACACACACACACACACACACACACACTAGAAGCTAGGGCTTAAATCGCTGCCCCTTGAGTAGAGGCTATACTTATTGACTTGCTCCCAAAGAATACAATATATGGAAAGCAAGGGGTGGGGGATGTGACTCTGTGTATAAGAAATCCGGCAAGTACTACCTCACCAAGATAATCAGGGCTAACATCATCATTACTAAGTTATGTCAATGTTATGTACCCTGAACATCATGCGATGAAATTGTGACTTTACTCTCTGGTCTTCCTCCTCAAACCAAGTAACCTCTGTTTAACCATGAGAAAAACATCAGAAAAACCCAACTGAGGAAGGTTCTCCAAAATACCTGACTAGTACTCCTCAAAACTGTCAAGGTCATCAAAAAATAAAAAATAAAGAAAGCCTGAGAAACTGTCACAGACCAGAGGAAACTTGGAAGATGTAACAAATAAATGTAACGAGTTATCCTGGATGGAACTCTGGAACCCTAGGAGAAAATTAATAAAATCTGCAGGAACATGGAATTTCCTTAAAAACAATGAAAGATGTTAACAGAAGAGGAAACTGGATGAGAAGTCTATGAGAACTCTGTATTCTCTTTATAACTTCTCTGTTAATCTAAAACTATTCTAAAATTAAAAAAAAATTATTTGAAAGGAAAGGGTATAGAACCAAAGTATTAGTCCAGGACTGTTTGAGAGAAAAGAAATAAAGCCTGTGTTTCACCATGGATAGATCTATAAAACATCTGGGACAATTTTGACTTCCTCTTCCAGTTTGAAATCTTCTATTGTACCATCCAAGATGGTTTTGAACTCCCTGCTACTTGCTCAAAGGTATCTTTCTCTTAAAATCCTGGAAGTCTGAAGTCACAACACTTTGTTCTTTATTCTTTTATCCACTCCCATCATATTTTCCTGCAAATCTCGTCATTGTCAAGGCATGGCTGATGGGCTTTATAAGTTGTTTGTGATGTCTTTCAGTTCTTGGTATTCTCGTGTTATTTAGGTTTAAAGGGAACAATTTGTCTCACTAAGATCCAGGTGCAACCATCATTACTAAGCCCTCCAAAATTTGGTGATGATGATACACACAAATGTGGCCATAGCAAGCAAGCAGTATAGTCATATACTTAATAAGAATATCACAGTTGATCATAAATCACACAAATAATCTTCAAGCTGTTTCCTAATTACAGTTTCAGGAAGTGCTTTCCTCATCTATAAAATTTCATAACCTCAGTTATTATGTGTCTTCTGTATAAGGGTAAAAAATGTACACCCATTTCTAGTTATGTTAATAGTTGGGTGACAATGCCTTCTGGTTTTGAAAATCCTCTGAATCACAAATGTAAAACAGTAATCAATATCATTTTTTATTACCAAACAGCTATAGAGTGTTAAATTATACTTATCAGTTCATCGTTAGGTGGTTAGAGCCTATTATTTAGGTAGAAGAACTAGGGTAAAGGGATTTGCCTATAAACTGGTAAATAAAATAGTGGTAGCCTATGTAATCTCCTACTTGGTTAATTGATGTCTCTATTAAGATAGGTAAGAAAAAATTGCAATTTGATTTACTTCACCACTGAAGTCAATCAATTTTTTTCTTTATAATTTTTTATTAAGTGTTCCTGGGTCTTTTTCTTCTGCAGTTTAATTTGGATGGAGTAGGGGTGGGATGCCTCCATCAATTTAAAGCCATGAAATGTTTTCTTTAAACAATATTCCCTTTATTATTCCCAGACAATCGTTAGAGGAAACAAACCCTGCAAGGAAACCTCCATCAATGGCCTGCTAGAGGATTTCGATAATATCTCGGTGACTCGCTCCAACTCCCTAAGGAAAGAAAGCCCACCCACCCCAGATCAGGGAGCCTCCAGCCATGGTCCAGGCCACGTGGAAGAAAATGGCTTCATCACCTTCTCCCAGTATTCCAGCGAATCCGATACTACCGCTGACTACACAACTGAAAAGTACAGAGAGAAGAGTCTCTATGGAGACGATCTGGATCCATATTATAGAGGCAGCCATGCAGCCAAGCAAAATGGGCATGTAATGAAAATGAAGCATGGGGAGGCCTACTATTCTGAGATGAAGCCTTTTAAATCCGATTTTGCCAGATTTTCTGCAGATTATCACTCACATTTGGACTCACTGAGCAAACCAAGTGAGTATAGTGACCTCAAGTGGGAGTATCAGAGAGCCTCGAGTAGCTCCCACCTGGATTATTCGTTCCAATTCACACCTTCTAGAACTGCAGGGACCAGCGGGTGCTCCAAGGAGAGCCTGGCCTACAGTGAAAGTGAGTGGGGACCCAGCCTGGATGACTATGACAGGAGGCCAAAGTCATCGTACCTGAATCAGAAGAGCCCTCAGCCCGCCATGCGGCAGAGGTCCAGGTCAGGCTCGGGGCTCCAGGAACCGATGATGCCATTTGGAGCAAGTGCATTTAAAACCCATCCCCAAGGACACTCCTACAGCTCCTACACCTACCCTCGCTTGTCCGAGCCCACAATGTGCATTCCAAAGGTAACGTTCGCTGCCTCCTTTCCCTCAAGCATGCAAAAACCTCCACAAGGGTGGTGCTGGCACGGCCTTCTTAAACGATCAGATTGCAGAGTACTTGTTTGCCTTTTAAGAGAAAATTAATATCAAAACCCTACCTTATCTCCACCTGTGAGGTACTAGGGCAGGAGGTTTGTGACAAGGCACATGTATTCATTAAAATCAAAATCTCTTTTGGGCTTTCCTACATGGTTTCTCATTAAAAGGCAAAGAAACTTTTTTATTTGAAAGATATTCTGATATATGAATGATAAATATTATGTGATTGTATTTCACTAAGTTCCCTATTAAGGAGTGGATCAGTCATACACAATCCTAGAACATTAGCTTGAGTCATACAGTGATTCCTACATTCTGGTAAAGTTTGCATGGACCTGCTAAAAAGGAAAAAAAATCAGCATCAGATGGTAATTTTTAAATAAATTTTATTTTATTCAACTTAGGGGATGATATTTCATTTTAAGAGTATGTACTTTCTACTATTTTTGATTTGAAATATTGTTTTTTGTATGAAATTTGGGGAAAGCAGATGGTTGCTGGACCGCTGGACCATTTTGGTCTCCTTTTTACTTTGTTTTGTTGCACTTCCTCTTTTAAATTTTGTTTAAATGTTAGCAGCTCCAAGTGTGCTTTGAAATGTGACTGGTCCATGATATCCTAAAGTTTGGGAATCACTGGCGGAAAAGTGAGTGAATCTAAAAGCACAGACAAAGGTCTATGGGTCTGAAGATCTAAAGCCTTGGAAAATACTTTTGAGAATGTGCAAGTTATTTATTTTTCCCTGTCATTTAGAAATGTTTTTGCTACCTTACCTATCCAGCAAAAGTGACAATGGAATGTGAATTACACAGAGGTCTTGAAGCAGGTGAGAGAAACATGACTTCTCACAGGGTAGTCACGTACGTTATTTATACCAAACACTCAACAGTTTGTTAGGCAGCACAGAAAACTCTGGAAGGCAAGCCTGCCTGCATTCACCTCCTCTATTGATTATACATAGTTGATATTTTCCCTTGGCTTCTTATTTCTCATAAACCTCATCCAAGATGTTGAAGAGAAGCCATTTAAGTGTATTGTTGAAGTTACTTCATTCTTTAGAGGAAACAAAAGAGCTGTCACCTTAGTTCTCAAGATATAAAATTAAAAACAAATCTTTATAAATAAAGGCCTGAGATATGTTCCTCCAGTTAAAATTCACATAGTGACAGTGTTTTTTATCTCGTGGTGTTAATGTATTTGAACATCCACACTCAGAGTATCATGACTGCTTTCTCTTCCTATGTTCTTGCCAGGGTGATTGTTGGAAAGAGGTCTAATTAACCACAGGCAAAAGCTACTTGGAGTCATACTCATGTCTCATGATACATGAGATAGCTTAGTCCACTTCTTGTGCATTTCACTTGTACATTTCTGTGAGTGATATGAAATAAATAAGTTAACATGTTCTGTAGCTGAACTGAGTTACATCCTCAGGCTTTGAACATTGGTGGCTATTTTTTTTCTCCAAGATTTTGTGTGTGTGGCTTGTTTGCACAGTTGTGTTAGGGAGCTGTTTGGGGTCATGGTCACAGAGAAAACATCACCCAGATGATGCTGCGTTGAGCCCTGGAGCCTTATTTGGCCTATGAACATGGGTAGCCTGGAGAGTTAGTTCCATCCAGGAACTCTCTTGATTAAAAAAAAAAAAAAAAAAAGGATGAACTGGTATCCCTGGGTCCACATTTTCATATAGCATGGACTTTTGGGATTTCACCAGCAATCCCTGCACATTCATTTCCCAGAAGGGGAAACTGAGGGTCAGAGAGCTATATGATACACTTACAGTTTCATAGTTAGTTGGTTGCAAAACAAGGACAAGAACTCAAGTCTGGTATTTCTCACTGTTCAATATTTTCCTATTCTTTGGGCAAGTGTTATTTCAGGGATTCGACTGCATTTGCCAAGAAAACCTGTGAGAAGTCCCAGTGGCCACCAGAACTTTAGTCTAAGTGGTAGAAGAAGGAGGGAGGGAAGAGTAATTTGCTTTTAATTCCCTGCAGGCTCCCCCTGTCCTGCAGACTTCCAAATATAAGACAAAGCAGATCTGCCCTGAAATCTGGCTCTGCCAGCCCAGAAACAATGTACAAACTACTGTGCCTCACCAAAAAATAAATAAATAAAAAGTAAAATTACAGCATATTCACTCACAGGAACTTCTGCAAAGGGTGTTCAGCCCTTATAATCATGAGTGCAAAGAAGCAAGCTGCCGCTCCTTGTTTCACAGGAAACTCGTGAGAGATTCATGAGCAGGTTTTGTGTTTTGTGGGAGGGTAGGAGGTGGGACACAGGTTAGTAATTAAAACGTTTACTTGATTTAAAATATAATGTTTCTAAAGAATGTATTTAAAAATATAAAGACCGAGGTGCCTGTGTCTTTAGAACTGTACTCTTAGAGTGTACGAATCACATTTGGATTTCCAGCTGAGGGAAGAAATAGCGGTCACGACTCAGATGAGTTGGCCTTGCTTTGCACAGAATCCTAGAGGAGGCTAAGTGATGTTCTCATCTCCAGTAATAAAAGGAAGCACAAAACTTGTGTAGGTCTTCAGATGGAGCAGAAATGAAAAGGGTTGTGTGTATGTGTGTTTATGTGCATTTGTGTGTGTGTGTTTGACACACAGTTTTACATTTTGTCCTAGAAAAAAAAAATGATTAATGTTAGCCCACAGAAGAAAAACTCCTTCAGTGTTGTCCACCTACTTAATTTCCCTGTTAGCATGACAGGAATCAAGAATGTTATGCGTCTGTTGATGCTGTCCTCCACTCCCTACATTTAAGTGTTTTTTCCTGGAGCTGAGCAGATGAAACCCTGGGGTTGGGAGGTTGGGAAACAAAGCCAGACAAAAACCAAATATCCCCATTCTCCACCACAAAATTATAAAAACTGCCAGATATGGAGGCAGAATAATTTCTACCCTCGCCTGCAGATGAATGTGCCTTCAGGGAAGGAAGCTAGCTGGAGAAATTGTCACCATGTATTTGACTTTGCTCATTCCTGTGCTCTCCAGGAATCAGGCAGCCACCTGCTTGTGTCTTTGTATTGGCCTACCACATCCGTTTCTTGCTGCAGCCACTAAGAAGCCCCAGCATAACAATCTCACAAGTTCATTAAGCATTTTCTGTATACCAGATACATACCATGTTTTGTTGAGCCTCACGGATCTGTAAGGCAAGAATTCTTGACCCCTTTGTACACATGAAGAAACTGGGGTTTTGAGAGGCTCAGTGTGCCCACAGCAGAGCTGAGATCCAACTCTTTGGGCTTAAGCCTTTCACCAGGCATTGCATGCATTTCTGGTAGCACAGGGGCAGCTTCCGAGGGTGCAAAGCCTGAGACCTGCCTGATTATAAGCTCCTTTTAATACCTGAAGCAATGAAGTTGTATTAGCAGTTAATTAGCAATTAATTTCACAATTCAGTTGTGTCATCCCCTTTCACTCTGTGGCAAGGTCCACTACCTTGATATTACGAATATTTTGGACCTAGTAATTCTTTATTGTGGGAGGCTGTCCTGTACATCATGGGATGTTTAGCAGCATCCATGACCTCTCCCCCACTAGCTGCCCATAGCATTTCTCCCTCACTCATGACAACCAAAATATACCCAGACACTGCCAAATGTCCTACAGGAAGAGGAGGGCAAACTTTGCCCAGTTAAGATCAACTGTTCAATAACTACCATTTATCATGCATGTTTTGACAGTTGTTAAGGGTGTAGGTTTTGAAGATAAACTGCCTGGGTTTGAGTCTTGACATTGCCACTTAGTAACTGGGTGAACAAGTTGCTTAACTGTGCCCCCACTTCTTTATCTACAACATAAGGATAAAGACAGCCCATGTCTCATTATAATGTATGAGGATTAAGTAAGTTAATAATCACAGCAGCTTAATTATTAATATGAGTAGTTTACACATCAGTCTACATGTGTAGCATGTAGATGAATGGTGGCAGTGATGTGAGGGTTACTGTGTTCCAAGCACCGTGCTAAGCATTTTGCAAACATGACCCAACTTAGCCTTCACAATTCCAGAAGAATTCAGGATCACCTCTGCTCTACAGGTGAGGAAGCTGAGACTCCAAATCTTTATGGACTTCCTCAAGTTTATAAAGGCAAATAAGTGAGTCAGGATTCAAAACTATGTCCCACTGACTCCAAAGTCTATGTGTTCCAGAATATTCTCATTTCCAGAAAAGATAATCCAGGAGCAGAAGGGTGGACATGAAGTCTACAGGCAGCCTCACCTTGCTTGTGAAGAATGGCTAATGACCGACGGGTAGATTTGCAGTGCCCATTGGAATGCTGCTTATTCTTCCTGTTCTTGGTAGGATGGAATCCTTGAGAAATTCCTTAATGTCACCCAGAGTGTAAACCGTGGGTAAATGTTGGAACTATAGGCTGTAAAGGAAGCGTTAGGTGCAGAAATCCCTAAGGCACTCACATGCATTTATTCAACCTTAAGTGATAGCCTTTCTGATTTTTTAAAAGATAATCCAGATTTTCTTACTGATTACAGAAAACTGTAAATTCTATAATGGATTCCCTTGATTCAACCCTTTACTAGCTGTATGATTTTCTCTTTGCTCCAGTTTCATCATCTGTAAAGTATTTCAGAACCTACTTTGAACTTGTCCAGAGGATTAACTAAGATTAATAAGCCTAAAGGAGCTAGCACATGGCAAGCACTCAGTGTTAGCCATTATTCCCAGGAATATTCTGGCTAGAAGACATATCACCCTATCGGCTAACACCAGCCACAGGAACGTTCTCTCTGTGCCATCTTTTACATATTTTCAAAATATGGGAACAAATTCTATCACTCTATGAAGGCTATAAGTGCAACTCTTCTCACTTTAGAAATGTGAGTCATAGAAGGCCAGAGTCGCAGAGTTGCTGTGTGACTTAAGGCCATGCGAAGCCTCAGAG